GTCTGTAGCAGCTACAGTGGCAGAGCCGAGGAACTGCGACAGAGAGTGTATGGCCTACAGAGCCAGAAATATTTACTATTTGGTCCTTTGCAGAAGAATCTGCACCAGTGGTTCTCAACCCTGGCTGCACTGGAGGAATCTCCCGAAGGGCTTTTAAAAACTCTTCTGTCTGGGCCCCAGTGCCACCCCTAGAGATTTGGGTTTAATTGGCCTTGGCTGGGGCCAGACACTTTTTTTTTTAAAGCTCCCCAGGGGATTCCCAGAGTTGAGATCTACTGATTGTGATCCTTTCTTCCAGCAGCAGGAGTATGACTTTGTTTGTTACCCTGGCTCCTGGGAGCTCCCAGAAGCCTACAGCCAAAGTCTCTTCGGGTGCCTGGGAAAGAGTCAGCCTTATCTCCGGTGAGAAAGCGCTGACCCGCCCTGCATTCCTGGCTCGGGGGGGCTGGCTCGGGCAGTGGGGAAGCTTGACCTTATCAGTCCTCTGTCCGGCCCCGCATTCTTTCTGAGGCTCCAGGCCCATCCCACAAAGACTGTCTTCCCTTGTTTCCCTGGTGAAGGTTTCTCATCTCCTGCCTAGCTGAGGATAAGGGCCACAGTCCATCCATTCAGCCCTTCGTTTTCCTGCACGCAGGCATGTTGGAGCAGGCAGGAAAAAAATGGCCCACGCAGCATCTTCCCAGGTATTAGTTGGCAGGACGCAATCTCGAAAGTTGTCGCAGAGCACACATGTTTACCAGATCTCCTCGTCTGCCCTAGAGAGGGACTTCTTGGTTTGGATTTGGTGGGCCCTTGTGTTACTTCTGTAGGTTACCTCTCAGCGGGCTAGTTTGATTTTTTTGTTCCTTTGCTTCTGGTGCCTTTAAAAAAGAGGTCATGCCCTCTTTAGTTGGCCTCGGTTGTTTACAGGCATGCCTTGGTCGGCTCTGGTAATTAGTACCTGTCAGCACGGAAACTGTCCAGGCTTGCCGTCCTCTGTGCCGGAGTCCTACTGGGCTCCCTCCAGCAGCTCGCTGCAGCGCCGATGCCTGGAAGGCGTACACCTGGTCCTAAGGAGCCGTCCGCCTGCCCAGAGGAGGTCTTTGGAGAAGGACTACCCTCTTTTAAAGCATGTCATCCGCCTAGGGCGATCTTGGGTTCTCACGGTCCAGAGGAGCCCTGTGTGTAAGAGGAGATGGACACAGAGGCAGACATGGACACATTTCCCCCTTTTAATAACGCATAAAATCGAAATCCAAAGTAATTACTGGGGTCTGCAGCATTTTGAGTGCTAAATAACACAGATTGAGTTCTCCTGTTGCGCACCGGGGAGCCGGAGGGCCATTTCTTTTTAATTTGGAAAAGCTAATGTGAGCCACAGGAGCCCAGGTTCTAGACAGAAGTCCCTCTTTGACTGATGGCAGAATGTAGGTCAAGTCACTACACACTCAGCCTTCATTTCTAAAGTGGGGAAACGTAATCGCCATCTCTCACAAAGATTTTATGAGGATAGATGAAATAAATGCGACAGCTACCCTATAATAGCAAGGTATAGTAATTTACATTGGTGAGGTCCAGTTAAACTATAACCTTCCTATTATATCATCCAAAGCAATGCTCTATGCCTGAGCGGCCTCCTTAAGCTGTTTAATAGCTCTGCCCACTCAAACTCTTCAAGTGAGAAGAAAGCTTCAGAGGTGAAAGTCTCCTATTTATCCTAAACCTTGAGATTGGAGACGTGTCTTAACAGAGGAAGATGTTTCTTTTTCTAAGTGTTGTGGTGTATGTGCCATTAAAAATGAGGTCCAGGGCTTCCCTGTTGGCGCAGTGGTTGAGAGTCCGCCTGCCGATGCAGGGGACACGGGTTCGTGCCCCGGTCCGGGAGGATCCCACATGCCGCGGAGCGGCTGGGCCTGTGAGCCATGGCCGCTGAGCCTGCGCGTCCGGAGCCTGTGCTCCGCAACGGGAGAGGCCACAGCAGTGAGAGGTCCGCGTACCGCAAAAAAATAAAAAAATAAATAATGCGGTCCAGAGTCTTGAGCTTTTTCCTTGGACTCCACAAATGGGTTCCATTAGACTTACTGGCAGGCATCAGGAACTGAGAATCTGTCTTTATAAACTGAATTATATCATTAGAAGATCTGCCAGTGTTTATCACTCTCCTTAGCATTTGAAGATAAAACGTACTCACTGTCTTAGGTACTTGAGTTGCCTTTTACCTCATTCCAGTCCTGGAATTTTATAGCTTTAGAGACCATGGCAAAGGTAACATGAGTGGTATCAATAAGTAAAACCTTTTACCATTTAGGATGTTTTCAGCTGTAAGTAGCAGAAAAGACTAACTCCCCTCGGCCTGGACAATAAGGCTGTCATTGTCACTTAGCAGCGTCCTCCAGGGGGTGGTGGGCCTCCCCATCGGTGGACTGGGCAGCTCAGTGATGTCGTGGTTTATCAGGACCCCCCTCCAGGACTGGTCCAGGCTGAGTGTCCTGGGGGAGAGGCGGATGCCCAAGTGCCTCAGGGCTCTGTTAGTTATGCAGGAGAACCGGGGGCAGGTTGCCATGTATCTGTCCACACCTCCAGCGTGCGCTTCAAGGCTCTTTGCTAATTTTCCCTATGAAACTGCACAGACAAAAAGAGTTTTGGCAACGATTTCAGATCATTGTTACTGATGTTTAACGTTGCGGTTAACTTCCCTGGACTTTGGTGGTGGGGTTACTTTCTACCCGGAATGGGAAAGATCCCAGGTGGTAACTGTTGGCATTGTCTTCCTCAGCTGCAAGGTGACAAGTGGCCCCACGTGGAAGGAGTCAGCAAGCCGTAGGTTTATTTGCCTGTTGTCTGGGCCCCAGTGGAAGCCCCTTAAGCTCAGGCTTGGGAACCTTAAGTCCCAGGAGTTTAATGTGGAGATTTTATAGAAATAACTTCTGCCTCTTAAGGGCATTGTCTGAGGTGTTGCTTTCATTACTGGTCTTAAATGAGACCAAAGAGTCAGGCAAGATGGAGGTTCTAGGATTTGGAAATAAACATTCTTCGTCTTAGAAAGAATTCTATTTAAGAAACATTTTACTCTGTTTTTGAGAGATTAGAATTCTAAATATAAGAACATTTGAGATAAATTTGGCAAACAGCTCCTCCAGATATTTATTTCCAGTAGATTCTAGTAATTTGAAATTCTGACTGGGGCTTAGAATAGTAGATTTTCCATAGAACTGTATTTTTTAAAAAGCAGGAGATATCTGAACAGCTCAAATTAAGTTAGGATGTGGTTCTGTTTGCTGATGTGGTTCTATTTGAGGATATTAAATACTCTTGCTGTTTAAACCACTTGATGGCTTTCTAAAATAAATTTATTTATTTATTTTTGGCTGCGTTGAGTCTTCGTTGCTGCACGCGGGCTTTCTCTAGTTGCGGCGAGCAGGGACTACTCTTCATTGCGGTGTGCGGGCTTCTCATTGCGGTGGCTTCTCTTGCTGCGGAGCACAGGCTCTAGGCGCACGGGCTTCAGTAGTTGTGGTGAAAGGGCTTAGTTGCTCTGAAGCATGTGGGATCTTCCCGGACCAGGGCTCGAACTCGTGTCCCCTGCCTTGGCAGGCGGATTCTTAACCACTGCGGCACCAGGGAAGCCCCACTTGATGGCTTTGAGTCAGCTTCTCCAATATGAAATCAGGAGATGATTATAAACTAGTTTCTAGATGTTGACATGTAAGTTACCTGAATGACAGCCTTTGGTACCCAGATCAAAGGAGTAAAAGAATGGATGCTGGCCCTGCTGATGGGTCTTCTGAGCAGGTGAAACTAATGAAAATGACCCGGAGGCAGATTACACCAGTGTGGGGTGACTCTCAGATGAAGAAAGAGGAGCCTCCACAACTCAGGAAGGGACAGGAACCAAGTCACTGCAGCTCCAAGGCCTAAGAGAAAGGAGACAGAAGCATCAAGAAAAAGGGATGCAGAGAGGTGGATGGGGTGATAGAAATTAGAAATGGCGGAAATGGGAAGGAAATCCAAAAAAACGTGGATATATGTATATGTATAGCTGATTCGTTTTGCTGTACAGTAGAAACTAACACAACATTGTAAAGCAACTATACTCCAATTAAAATTAATTTAAAAAAAGAAAGAAAAAGAAAGAAAAAAAAGAGAAAGAAACAGCTGCAAGCTGCTCCAGTTGCTGAGACAGCAGAGAGGGCTTGGCTGCCTGTGCTTAGCACACAGCTGGGCGGCTGAGCGCGCCCCATTCACCCCCAGGTAGTAGCCGTCTGCAGTCACGATGCTGTGTCTGTTAAAAGGCTTTAAGTCATGTGTGCTGCACCGCTGAAGAAAGCATTTATCTATGCAATGTGATTTAGCTAAACATCCCTCAAAAACAAGCTGCTTAGAATAACAGCTTTCGGGGAACCAAAAACATGGAAGAATAGCTTTTCCTCAAGCCTGCCAGATACTGATACGTGACTAGAAAGTTGTCTTTTTCATTTTACAAATCTTTGGGTTTTTTTTTTCTTTCTTATGTCAAAAATCGTTCATGTGGAGACTATAGATATGAAGAGAGTGAATACAAAATCTTTTGCAATGAAACCATTGAGAATAGCAGTCAACTTTTGGGTTCTTTTCTTCCAGTGACTTCCATGGGTGCATGCATTTTAAAAGGAAGTAAAAATGGGTTCATACTGTATGTACTGTTTACATAGTTAGAATAGTTTTCTATACCATAACTGTACCCCTCCCCCCGTGTATATATGGTTTTTAACCCTAGTAGTTTTGCAGTTGAAGTAAACAGAGTTTTGATTTACCTATAGCCATATATTTTATTATGTGGAATCACGTAGAAGGGCCTCATGCAAAAATCAAACATCAAGATTCAAGGTTGTAAGATGTTAATTCTTCAGGAGCCAGCGCCAACTTGGAAGTCTGAGACTGAGAATTAACTACTTAATATGGTGAATCAGAAGTTCCTATCTATGTGTATTTATTTACTTTAAAGGATCCATTATAAAATAAAATATTTTCCTTCTGTTTAGCCTTCTTTGGATATTCAACAAATACAAAGTACGACCCATACCAAATTAAAGCAGAAATAGCAAGTCGTCGGGATAGGGTGAGTAAAACGAATATTTTCACAACTAGAAGCCCCGTATGTCTTTTTATGTAACATCACTTATCATGGTTCATTTTATGGTGGCCAGTGTGTATAACACCCATATTTTAGTAAGATTTTCCATTTCATGAATTCTTACCACATTTGGTTTTACTTTCCACTTTTTTTTCCGATAGGAAGGGAAAAGTTTCATTTTAAAGCCTCAGCCCATCTAACAAAAAGTCACCTGTATCCCTCAGTGTGTTTCATGGGGCTAGATTCACCCCCTGTTTGGAAAGATTTGGTGACATTGGGGCCCAACCTCAGAGGGCTGCTTCCCTGTATTAGTGGGCTGCCAGGCCTGTCCCTCAGCAGCTTTAGCATCTGCTGTTCTTCCCTGGTGGCTGTATTCCCAGGGAAATCTTGCCTACGATGGCGTTTGACCAGAAGGTACCGGTGCTCCCTGCCAGTGGTGCCGGGTTCTTGGTGTGCCACCGTGTTCCATCCCTTCAGCCCCTTGTCTTGGGTGTCTGGAAGTGGGGACGGGAGACATCTTAGAGGCCAAGCCTCCTGTCCTGGTGTCTCAGTCCCTAAACCAGAGTGTCTCTTTTAGTGCCGTGGTTCTCACATTCTAGTACATCAACGAAAAACACCTGGGGCATCAGTTCAAAGTGTGAGCTCCAGACACCCCCCGCCTCGCCCCCACGGAGTTTTAACAAGGCCTGGAGTGGGTCCTATCATCTCTTTAAATAAGCACTGCAGGCGACTGACTTCCAGGTAGTGGGAAGCCATGCTTTGAGCAACAGGGTTTCCTAGGTGGGATCTGTGGGTAGTAAGCAGAAGAGAGGATGAAAAAAGTATGACAAAGTTTGCTCATTGCAATGTGTAAATCAATACCTCGAAAAAGAAAATCATTGCTGGTTCCAGGGCTCCACGTGGTAGAAAGCTGTTCGTGACCCGGGCCTTTTGTGTCTAAGCGAGCCGGCCCCCCTGCCAGGGCTGTTTGATATGCCAGGGCTGTTTGATATGCCAGGGATGGAAGGCCATGGAGAGAATGGGTGACCCTGTGAATTGCAAGGTAGTCAGAAACTTAGATGACAATGCTAACAACTGTAGAAATCATTTTTCACAGCTTCTTTTTGTGGAAAAAAAAATGTAATTTGTCTTTAGCTTTCCAGATTAAAACGAGAGCTGACCCAGATGAAGCAAGAACTGCAGTACAAAGAAAAGGGGGTGGAGACCCTGCAAGAGTGAGTGGCCTGCAGTGACAGAGGGAGAGTTTCCCTGCGATTTCCTGTTTGGTGCCGGGACATGTGTCCTAAAGCTTCATGGGTGTTCACTTTTATGCTTTTATTTATGCTTATTATTTGCCAATCCTAAGGATCAGATCTCTCTTTTCCCTGAAGATAGTTTGTTCTTGTTTCCTTGGGAAATAAGACCTTTATTTTATATTTACGCACATTCTTGATAGCTGTGCTGTCTGAAACACACATGGCTATTTACATTTGAATTCCTGTTTTGTTAGTTTTAATCTCTTAAAGTTTTTAATTCTAAAGTTTAAATTAATTGAAGTTAAATAAAATTAAAATTTTAGTTCCCAACCTCAGTAGCCACATCTGAAATGCTCAGTCACATGTGACTAGTGCAGGTTTTCTCCACCTCAGTGCTCGTGACATTTTGGACCAGATAACTGTTTGTGGTGGAGCTGTCCTGTGCACCAGAGGATGTTTAGCAGCACCCCTGGCCTTGACCCCCTAGATGCCAGTAGCACCCTCTTACCCAGTTGTGACAGCCAAAAATGTCTCCAGATATTGCCAAGTGTTTCCTGGAGGGCATGTTTGTCCCAAGTTGAGGACCACTGGGCTAGTGGCCACTGCATTGGGCAGCACAGATAACATTTCCATCCTCACAGTACTTTCAGTTGGGCAGCCTGATCTATAGGTCTTCCTCCTATAAAATTGACATCTTTACAATTAGAACTTTATCCCTACTAAGAGTTTGGGGATGAAGTTCTCATCATTTGTGAGTTATATGAAGTGAGCAAATTCAATGAACAGGAGTTATTTTATAAATGGTGATATTGGTGGTCTGAAAGAATTAATTTTCCTAAGAAAGGGCATTGTATGCTTGTTGGTCCAAAGTATATTCCCTTTTGATTCAGAGCCTGGTTTCACTTGCTGAACTTGGGCTTGTGCTTCATACCTTCTGTGTTGACTCTTCTCATGTGTCAATGGGGACTGTCGTAGCTCGGTTGCTCTGACAAAATACTGTAGACTGAATGACTTAAAGAGCAGACATTTACTTCTCACAGTTCTGGAGGCTGGAAGTCTAAGGTCACGGCGCTGGCAAATTCATTATCAGATGACTGCCTTTTTGCTGTGTCTTGACATGGTGCTGTTTTTGGGTGGGGGGCTCTGGTCTCTGGTGTCTCTTTTGTTTCTTTAAGGATACTAATCCCTTCATGGGGCCCCACCCTCATGACCTCATCTAAATCTAATCACCCCCAAAGGCCCCATTTCCAAATACCATCCTATTGGGGGTTAGGGCTAACCATATGAAGTTTGGGGGGCATGAACATTCAGTCCATAGCAGTGATCATTGGGCTAAATTGTCCAAGTGCAGCACCAGTGCCTGCTACATAGTCAGCCTTCAGCAAATGGCAGGAATCCACGTGGCTACGATTTCTTGGTAAATGTGGGCAGCGTGCCACTCTCTTGCATCCTGTGTGCAGACACAATGACAGTGTGTCAAATGTGATTGCAGTATTACTCTTTATAGGGAGGTTACACAGAATGTGTTTGACAAAGATAATGATCCCACCTCACATAAAGGGTAATTAACGGGCACGTCAAACCCTGTTGTTTAACATGAGGTTGACATTCACTTTGTTAATCACCCAGGATTAGTTTGGTTGATGATTCGTTTGTCCGCTTTTTATTAAGGACATATTATAGACACCAAGGGAGACACAATAGAAAGGTGAGCTGGGTCTTGCCTGGAGGGGCTTGGCTTTTCTGGCCCTGAGACACTGCCATGCCCCCTGCAGGTCCCCCATGTGGCAGGGTTTGGTAAGCTGTCCACGTGCTTAGCATGAGCTGCAGGCTTTTAACCTTACAGTCAGCTTTTTGCTTTCTCTACCACTACCTGTAGCAGTGTGTGTGTGTGTGTGTGTGTGGTGTGTGTGTGTGTGCGCGCGCGTGCACATTCTCTGGTGATTTGGATCTACAATGGGAGTTCCTTTAATTATCCCTAGTCAGTACAGCTTTTTATTTCTTTTTTTTTTTTTTTGCATGCCAGAAAGTCTTTACTTTTAAATGATTTTCAGTACACCAAGTAGTAACATGTAGCAAGTTCTTGAATTCCATCATCTAGTAATTTTTTAAATTTATTTTTTATTGAAATTGATTTACAGTGTTGTGTTAATGACTGCTGTGCAGCAAAGTGACTCAGTTATACACATATGTACATTCTTTTTCATATTCTTTTCCATTATGGTTTATCACAGGATATTGAATATAGTTCCCTGTGCTATATGGTAGGACTGTCATCTAGTAATTTTGATTAAGGGAAACTAAAAGCAGCCCAAACAATGATACTAGTATCCATTATTCTAACTCTTAGCCGGAAAGGACTATTTTAAGGCTGGCTGCTGCATCACATAGGTTACAAATAACTATTTACTACTTTTTCATAGATAAAGCCCCTGACCTTCAAGAAAGATTTAGGGAAAAAAAATTCATCTCTTTCTTTCTTAAGAAATTTTTTTTTTAACTACATCTAAGAAAGAAAAAGTCAGTATTGATATATATGCTGCTTGAGCGAAAAGGCATAGGAAAAAAGACAGTGTATACCCATTAAATTCCAAGAAATGTGAGGTAAAAAGATAAAATCTTGGGACTTCCCTGATGGCACACTGGTTAAGAATCCACCTGCCAGTGCAGGGGACACAAGTTCGAACCCTGGTCTGGGAAGATCCCACATGCCGCGGAACAACTAAACCCGCGTGCCACAGCTACTGAGCCTGCGCTCTAGAGCCCGCGAGCCACAACTACTGAAGCCCGTGCGCCGCAACTACTGAAGCCTGCGTGCCTAGAGCCTGTGCTCCGCAGCAAGAGAAGCCACCGCAATGAGAAACCTGCGCACCGCAATGAAGAGTAGTCCCCGCTCACGACAACTAGAGAAAGCCTGCACACAGCAACGAAGACTGAACACAGCCAAAAATAAATAAATAAATTTTAAAAAGATAAAAATCTTTGGATAAGCCCTAAGTTTGTACAAAGAAGCTAGATTTGCTGTTCTGCAGAAAGTGAAGGGACCTACTATATAACATACAGAAATAATTTAATGACTTTTCGCAAGACTATGACTCAAGCCTTGCTAAAGCTTCATATTCCATGAAGGGATCGAAAATGCCAATCCATGCAACAACAGGTGGTTTTTTTCTTCCTTTATCTGTTTTTGTGGTAGTTTTTGTGGATTTCTGGCTGGATGTCGCAGTCAAAGGCCAAGAGGTTATCCAGGAGTTCATCCCTGTTCTGCCGGAAGTAGGTCTGGAGGATGGTCATCTTCTCCTGGGGGTCCTCCACTTCAGTGCTGCAACTGCCATGGGATCCCAGAGCCGCGGCCTCCTTGGCCTTGAACTCCTTCTCCCTCTGCAGGCGGTACTGTTCACTTCCAGCCTGGGCTGCTGCTTTGGCCTGCTTCAGCCTCCGGTTCTTTTCTTGTGGTCCTCGGCCACCTCCTTGGCGGCCCGCTTCTCGGCCTGGAGCAGCTGCTGGGTGCCCTGCGACCGACTGGCCATGGTGGCGGCGATTCCAAGGTGGCAGAGAGCGGCCTAAATCGGCTCGACCGGCCCCTCGGGTCAGTTGACCCAGCCGCCCAAGCAGTACAGCTTTTTAAAAAAGTTTTGCTTAAACAAATCAAGCTGCATTTTCAATATCGGCTACTGGTTTTGTTACTCTTTTTGTCCATCTGCCGTGGTGCTTCCCGGCGCAGCAATACCTGTTCTGTGATTTTATGCCATGCAGCCCTGCCTGCCTCCAGATGCTCCCTTGCCTGCTGGGTGCTTCTCTGTGCACCGTGGCCGTGCCTTCCTGTGTCACTTCTGCTAAAGGGCTGGATCAGAAAAAAGCAGAAGCAAATCATTTAATTTGGCAGGTCTTCACAAGTTGCTTGGACTGTCCAGTTGAATTGGAGGTTGATTTCCTTCTGTCATTTGGCCACACTGTAGCCTTCTCTCTTCACCAGGGCGAATCAAGACTTCCCAGCGTCTCTAGATAATAGTGACTTTTCATGCTGGGCCTCATGCAGTTAATTTAGCTCTCACTCGCTGAAGCTCTGGTGCAGGTGATCGGGTTTCAGGGTGGTTCAGGAACACTGAGGTCACATGGGATCCCCGAGCCTCAGAGGAGAGCCCCGGCCGGCACCTTTCCCCACTGGCCCTGGCTTCTGTAGCAGGATTGCTGGGCCCAGTGCCTTTTCCTCTGCTTGGCCTCCATCACTCTGGCCACCTCCATTTCTTTATGTGAAGACAATGGTTATATTGCAACGTCAGCTTAAGACTGAACACTCTCAGAAATAAAAGATGTCAGGGCTCAGGTGACAGAGAAAACCCCTTCCCCTTAGCATTGCTAGGAAGTAAATTCATCTCTTGTAGTCAAGGTAATTTTAAGACTAGGAAAAGACGGCCTCAGTTGCTCCGGGTTTATTGGACGGGAAGCAGAAGCTGGCCTGGGAAGAGTTATAACTTTACACCTGCAGCCGGAGCGGAGTATGAGTTGTGCACTTGCAGAGAGAAGGGCCAGTGCTGTTTGATCTTCTTTCTGCTTTCCTTAGCAAGAATCCTTAGCGATGGGAAACATGCCCCCTGCCAAGGGGACGGTCCTCACTGCTGGATACCCACCCTCCCCAGTGGAGGCTGAGGGGTGGCCTGAGGGAAAGTTCTGGACCTGGCCTTGGTCCTGGGGGACCCAGCCCAGCTTTCCAGATGGAGCTGCCTCTCGAGGCAGCTTCTAGTTGGTTGCTATGTTGTCACTGCAAATGGTCGGTCACTCTATGCTGTGACACGAGCTCACGGGAAGGAGAGGAAACAAGGGTGCTTGTGCCGTGCTTAAAACGCTTTGCCAGTGAAAAGTAGACTGATACCTTCCTCTGAGCTACACAGGCCATGTGTGAGATGAAAACAGCCTCTTTATTTATCTGGTATTGCAGATTGGCTCTTGTGTTTGGATCAAATCATGCAGACAGGTAT